GGGAGCCGGGCCGCGGTCGGGGCAGCGCTCCGCCGGCGCCCCGGCCCGCCCGGTCGCAGCTGAGCGCCTGTAGGTACGGTCTGCTTGTCCTCAGTTCCCTCGACCATCTCCCCAGACCCGGGCAGTCCCTGAGGGCGTGCGTGTGTGTGCGCACGGCTGCCCCGGGAAGCGCGGCCGCACGCGCCCTGGTCCGCGCGTGTCGTCTTTGTGTGCGCGGGTGGGAGGGAGCGCGACGGAGGGGATGCGCCCCCGGCGGGGACCCACTCGCCGACCCCCCCCCCGCTTCCCGGCCGGGCGGGAGTAGCGGGAGGGGCCGAGCCGCCTCCGGAGCAGCTGCACCCCCGCCCCCTCCTAGGGCCCAGGGCCCGCGGTGGGGCGAGCGCAGCGGGCCCCCTGGAGGAGGGGTCTCCGGCTGGGGAGCGTCGCGAGGGAGCCCGCGTCCCCTCCCTGGGCTGCGAGAGCGGGGGGGGGCGGGCCAACCTGGAAGGAGGGTGCGAGCCCCGGGAGGACCCTATCCAGTCCACAGTCGCCGGGGCGGCACGCCCTCCGTTCGGTCCAGGCCGTCTTTCTCACGGTCACCAGTTCGGTCCGCCTACCCCGGGAGCTCTCCGACCGCCCTCGAGAGTGGGGAGGACCGCTGCGGGTGCCCGAGAGGCCGGCGCCTTTAAGAAGGGGCGGGTTCATGCCCTCCATTCAGGCCCTTCGGCCTCAGCCATTGATGAACCTGCGGGCGGCGCGCGGCCCGGAACCGCGCCAACCCAGCCCGCCAAGGCCAGGCAGAGGCTGGGACCCGGCCGGGCCTCCTCATCAGCCCACGAAGTGAGGTCTTCAGAGGGAGAAATCTGCAGTGACTGGGGTCCCTTAGGATCCTCAGGGCGGATCGGGCTGCCAGCCTCAGGAGTAACTGAACGTGGATAAGCCAGAATCGGTGTTCACACCGACTTGGTGCTGGGGAGAACCTCAGGGTTGGGAGTCAAACCCGGGTTGAACCCTGCCTCTGCACTTTGAGCCTCCATTATGTACCTTGTAAAATGGAGATGGTGCTGCCTCCCTCCTAGCTGGGTGACCAGCAAGAGTTGCCCACTCCAACACAGGCCACTGATCATGGGGTGAGTGAGGGCAGGGGGAGGGAGGGGAGGTTTCCCTAAGAGGTTTTGGTTGCCTCTATGGGGGACGTGACCTGAACCCCCCCTCCCCCAACTCTGTGGCCACTTTAAACAGATTTCTTCCTTCCTGGCCTCCCTGCTCCATCCCGGAGGCGACTGGTCAGGGGAGTGACCTAGAACCTTCCAGCCCTAGGAACTTTGGGAGAGGTGTGGCAGTAGGGTCAGTGCTGTTAGGCTGGCATGAGTCAGGGCGTTTATGGGGGTCTGGAAGGCAGAGTTTCCCACCAACTGCTCCCTTCTACTCCTCTCTCCCTCTAGAGGGCGTGCGTGATGGTGGGCAAGAGATTCTGAAGCGGGTTAGTTGAATGGTTCTAAGTCTTCGAGGGTTTCTATATACATGCTTTTCCTCTTACCTGTTGTGGAAAATGTGTCTAAATTTTCTAAACCCTTCTTTCCTCCTTAGTGGGTCTCCTAGGGAGAATACACACACACACACACACACACACACACACACAACCACAACGAAGAGTGGGCTTCCCCCAAGACTGAGCATTTGGTTTTGAGTTGATGTGCCAAGTCTCATGTAATCTTCACAATAGCCCTGTGGGTTTGGGACTATTATTATCCCCATCTTACAGAGAAAGAAACAGATCAGGGAAGTGAAATGACTTGGGCCAGAGCCACTCAACCAACAAGCCAGGCCTCTAAGCCACTTGTCTCTGACAAGAGCCTGGTCGTTACCTCTTGCCTGTGTACCTAGCCTGGGTTGTGGGGAATTAGGGTTTTAGGTGCCATGGGTCTCCTGGCTACTGTGTCCATGGGGTTCTTGGAGCCTGCCTCGCTTCCTGCTCCTCATTGTCCACATGGGACCGAGGGGCGGTGGCATCCTTGGAGCCTTGGGGAAGTTTCTCTTCCCCCTCACCTGTTTAGGTCTGTTTTCAGACCTTCCTCTATCTAGAGGAGGTTATAGCCCACACCTCTTTGGGCAGATCAAGGCAGGGCATCAGTGTGTAGGATTATAGCATCTTTTGACTCCTCTGGATGATGCAGGATTTGGGCTCCATTCTCCAGATACTTCGGACCCTCTGTGGATAGGGCCTACCTGGGGGTGGGTATAACACCTGCTGGGGGGTCATGGTCTGATGCTATTGTAGAGGGGCAGGAGAGTGAGGGTGGAGGCGGAGGGTGGAGGCGGGTACAGGACAAAGGGGGTGTTCCCAAGGCCTCCACCAGCTCAGGGGCCTGGCAGCTGTTGGGGCAGAGGAGTGGGAGCAGGTGGGGCAATGCCGGGCTGGGTGCTGAGACTCCAAGCAGAGAGCAAGCAGGGGTTGGAGGAAGAGGATGTAATAGAACTCGGAAGTGGTGAGTTTGAGGTGCCTGGGGATCAGCCAGGGTGGGAGTTCAGTTGTTCAGAGAAAGACCCAAGGAAGCTTTATAAGCACCTGTTAGTACCCAGAGGTCTGGGATACTCAGAACTGAGGGGGGGTATTGGAGGTCTCAGGAGTCACTGGTATGGATGTCATGGAACAGTCAGAAGGCAGACTGGTGGGCTGGGTAGTAGGAGTTGAGGGGGGTGTCTTGCAGGTAGCAGGGGCTGGGCCAGAGAGGTCTGGGAAGGGTATGAATCCAGGCCTAGGTGAGATCCAAGGCACTGGGAGAGACTTAGAGGTTGGAGAGGGGGTGCCTCTGCTCTATACCCAGGGAGGGCAGGGCAAGTGCAGCTGGAGCCATCCCAGCCTGCACTCCACCTACAGCTGTCTAGGAACTGTCCAGCACCAGGTGCTCCTGAAGGAGGATGGGCTTCTCTCCTAAGCCCCCAGGCCCCGGCATAGCTCATTGTCCTGGGCCCCACTGCCTGCTCATCTGACTTCTATTTCCTCCAGGGCCCAGCTCTGGACTCCCCTGCCCTCCAGCCTGTCAGCATGCCCCTTCTCAGTTTGGGCATCTCCTTTCCTTTTCCTGAGGTGGGGCCTGGGTGCCCCCCCCACCCAAATGCTCTCAGAGGAGAGCTCCCCAGGGACAGGGCCCTGTTTTGAGTAGCGCATGCTGCAGAAAGGGACAGATGTGAACTCGGCTCCACCCTTCCCTCTCGCCCATTCTATGGCGCTGAACCCCCCAGCATGTCTCCTGGCACACAGTGGGAAGCCAGTGCAAATCCAGTGAATGATAGGTCAGTCACTGCCCTTGCCAGGACCCTCTTTACTCATCTGTACAATGGGCAAATCCTCTCTTGGCGGGGAAGATGTGAGGGGAGAAGGGTCTGAAACAGGGACAGAGCTCAACTGGATGTGGGTTCTCGGAAAAGACCTTGGCCACACTGTGGAGCCTGGATTTGTTGGGGGTTGGCGGGGACAGTGGGAAACAGGGAGGCCAGGGAGGAGCCATCTGCTCAGAGCAGTGAGAGGACAAGAGGAATGGAGGCAGAACATTCATGAAATAGAAGCAAAGCTTTGATTCCTTAACCAATTACCTAAGGACTTTTGTTTGTTTGTTTAAGATTTTATTTGTGCGCAGTCTCTACACCTAACATGGGGCTCAGACTCGCAACCCCGAGATCTAGAGTTGCAGGCTCTTCTGACTGAGCCAGCCAGGCGCCCCGAGGTCTCAGGCTGTTAACCTTCTCCACCGTCCCACATGTCAAATGACCAGATGTGCAGGTGGGGGCACAGGCAGGCAGTGGGGCCTCTGGGATGGGAGCAGCTGTGGGGCCCCCAAGGACCGGGGGTCTGCAGGTCCCAGAGCCAGCAGGGCTTGTCCAGATCGGGGGCATCCGTGAAAGCCCAGGGGCTCACCAAAAGGGCTTCCGCCCTCCCTCAGTTGGCAAAGGCTGGCTGTGTGTGAAAGGCATGGGGGGGGGCCCTGAGCCCAGAGCTGCTCCAGCTCTTGATGGCCGCCCCCCAACGCTGCTCCTCAGCATGGGCCTTGGACCATGAAGCAGTTCGTGTGGGAGGCAGGACGGTCCCCTTCCCTGCTAGAGACACTGCTGCTCCAAAAGGCCGGGCCCACCTGAGCCCCCTTCCCCCCAACCCCCTGCTACCCATACAGGGCAGGAGCCCCCAGGGCTCTTACTCTGCACCTGTCCCTGTCACTAGCCAGA